CTATAAAATTCTTCATAAACAATTTAATTATTTCTTAAAATAAAGAAATAAATAAAGATAACTCAAAGATAACTTAAATAAAGAAACTCCATTAGTTTAAAAAAAAATTCAAAGAAATTTTTCAAAAAAGTTTAATTAGGATTTTTAAAAATATTAATAAAATTCTTTGCGAGAATTTAGTTATTTTTCTAAATAAAGAAATTCTTTGTAGGAATATTCTATTTTTATCAAATTTTTTGATAAAATTCTTTGCAACAATTCGAAGATTTTCAATACATTAATTTTAAAATTGAAAATATTTGAAAAGAAAAATTAAAAAAAGATTAAGAAACCAAAATGTAAACAACAATTAACTTCAAACTGCGAATAGGTTACCGAAACATGTACTTTTTTATTATTAATTTATAAATATTATTTTTAACTGAAATGTTTTGACATTTTTTTTAAATAATAAAGATATTAATTTATGAATGTTTAAAGGTTATTATTATTAAACAATTTATTTATTTGCTGTAGTGTATTAGTGTCAATTAATGCTTTATTGAATCACTCAACAAATCACTGAAAATAGAGCGTATGTGTTCAGTTAGGTTCCGTAGCATAGTGGTTAGGGCGTTAGTTTCGTAGTCCGTAGTTCGTAGGTCGTAGGTTCAAGTCTCGCGTGCGTTAGATTTTATTTAGGTATTTCGTAGGTTTGCTTTTTCCAATTTTTCTGTATTGTATAGGTATAAGTATGCAATTTAATGATTATAATATACACTGTTAAATAATTTAATTAACAAATATTAAATTAAAATTTTTTTTTATATATAAATGGATATGTATTAATCCCCACATATATACTAACATTATTTATGAATTCGCTATTGGTCACGATTAAATTAAAAAAAAAAAGTAAAAATCATTAAATAATAATGCCATTTATTAATAATTAAAGTTATTATAAAAATTAGTTAAAAATGATCTCAAATATGCTATGAGCGAGAGGAAAGAATTCTGTAAGTAAGGGTCAAGCAGTATTTAATAAGGTTCTAGGAACACCTGCTTTCCCCCTTTTACCATCTAAATTTGTCGCTAACCAGGGGTTTGCAGGAGGTAATCAGAGTTAACTTGCAATGCAAATAAACTCTGCTTTCATCCTATTACATCCTTACAAACCCTCAGTTTTAAGGAGGTAAGCAGGTCTAAAAGTTCGACTCGGGTGGAATCTCATATGTTTGTATACGAAAGGCCAATATTGAAAAAAAAATTTTGCACCGTACAGGTGCAAAATTACATCACAGTGTACCCCATTTTTCGACATTTTTAAAAATGGTCGACTTTGGTACAAGATTTTAGATGGAAGCGATTATTCAAAAAATTCTAAAAAAGAAATATTTATTAACTGAATCTGTCTAAACGAATTTGCTTTATAATTATTAATAAATCTTAATTATTATTGTATTTATTAACAATAATAGGAGGCAATGTTATCTCTGGTTCTAATAGTCTAATTGAAATAAATCAAATTGGATGTTGTAAATAATTAATCTTTTTATTATCTTAGCTCATTAAAAAAAACGAAATTCTTCTATTAACTACATTTTTCAACATTTATTTGGACAGTTTTTTTTTCTTGAGAACAAGTGTAAAACGGTTGCAAAAACCCAATTTTTTTGACAAAATCTTAACCCTCTGTCATAAATAATACTACGAACATCTCCAAAATGTGGACTCAGAATAAAGCTTAGAATTTTTTTCACATAGGCTATACAGTGCATGCCAGATTTTTATTTATGACAGGGTTAAGATTTTGTCGAAAAAATTGGGTTTTTGCAACCGTTTTACACTTGTTCTCAAGAAAAAAAAAACTTTCCAAATAAATGTTGAAAAATGTAGTTAATAGAAGAATTTCGTTTTTCTTAATGAGCTAATATAGTAAAAAGATTAATTATTTACAACATCCAATTTGATTTATTTCAATTAGAGTAATAGAACCAGAGATAACATTGTCTCCTATTATTGTTAATAAATATAAAAATAATTAAGATTTTTTAATAATTATAAAGCAAATTCGTTTGGACAGATTCAGTTTAATAAATAGTCCTTTTTTCGGATTTTTCGAATAATCGATTCCATGTAAAATCTTGTACCAAAGTCGACCATTTTTGAAAATGGCAAAAAATGGGGTACACTGCTGTGTAATTTTGCACCTGTACAGTGCAAAAATTTTTTTCTAATATTGGCCTTTCGTATACAAACATATGAGATTCCACGCTTTTCAAAAATATTTCTCATTTTTTTCAAATAATTTTTTTAACAGAGATATTTCAAGTCAAACTTGAACATTTTTCAGGGGCCTATCATTTTCTCGCGGATAGTAGTTGGTGTAATAGTCATTAATCCCTTTAGGGTTAATCCCTTTGAAGCATACATTTTTACAGTCAAGGAATTTAAAAATCAAGTACACTTTAGGGGGTTTTCAGGTACACTGATTAAGAATCTGAAGTCGAATTTTTCATATTTTCAAAATTCAAAATAGCGAATCCAATAAAGCGGGCGACTTTTTCAAAAATTGATCAAATTCACTTGAAACTTGTTACTTGGGGGTTTTTGGGGTCGCTGATTACAAATCTGAAGTCAGATGTTTAAAATTCACAAAGGCGGATCCAACATGGCGGAAATTTTTTAAAAAAATGATGGAATTCGATTTAAACGTGTTATTCAGGGGTTTTTGGTTAATGACAAATATGAAGTCAGACTTTCGAAATCCGAAATTTATTAATATATAAATACATACAATATAAAATACATATTGGGCATTTCTCTGTAAAACAGATATTCCCTGACTTTTTCCTGACCGTTAGAAATCCCGCGGGATTGCTCTCCTTTTTTATAAGTATGTTGGATTCAATAAATAGTGTGGGATCCCGCGGGATTGCCGGATCCCGCTCTGAGGGATTGCGAGCTCTAATTAGGAATAAAAAATATCGTAAGTAACACGAGAATAAAGGCAGCCAATTTCTTTACGGTGATTTTTGTGACACGAGTGGAGGTCGAGGGCGCCGTAGGCGCCCCGAGACCGTAAAGAAATGGCTGCCTTTATCCTCTTGTTGCTTCCCAGGAGGAAAAGTCGGACGAATGTCGGATTATACAACCGCCTGGGATCCGCGCCCGTACGGACCGCCAGCACCGATGGTCTGTACCGATTCGGATCCTAAAATGCAACCTGCGCGGAACAGATTAGGCTCCGACTTTTGGATCCGCCTTTCTACTTTCGTCAGTACTGGCGCGGTACTGGATTTGTTCCGCCTGCAGATTTCGACGCGAAAATTTTCGATTTTCCGACGCGCGTAGAAGAATGACGGATGTTAGGTCTGTACTGGCTCGGTGCTGGGACGGTTCCGACTGCGGATCTCGTCATTTATTGTTATAGTTTACATTATCAGTATAATCATAAATTTATTTTATTATTATAATTAATTATTACAATAACTAATTGCATTTATTATAATATTATTATTAGTTAACCAATAAATAAATTAATAGTATTCATGCAAAGGAAGAATATAAGAAACTTAATTTTTTCATTATATATATAAAAATCCAACTTTATTAATGTGCAATTAAATAAATAATTTTTAATAAATAATATATTAATTTGAAAGAAGTAAAATATATTTAACTTGAAAGAAAATGTGATCAATATATTATAATGCCTACAATAAATACCTAACATATTAAATACAATATATAAAAAAGAGATTATTATTAATTAATTAATAATCTCTTTTTAATTTAAACAATATATTAAGTAATTATTTATTGACACTTTTCTGCAAATTAAATAATTAAAAAAATGTGTTGTGCATTAAAATTTTATTCAATTTAATACTATTACTTATATGTTATAAATTGTTTTGCAGTGAAGTTATGTTCATATTATTCGATATATTATGTAATAAAATATTAAAAAACATAATAATAAAAATATAACATTTTTTTTTAAACGAAATATTGAAATATTCATAAATACACATTCAGTAAAGTATTGAAAATATACCGGTATTACATCAGTTCGTATTTCCAAATTGCCTATTGCCGCGTAGTAATTTTACAATTTTTATTTCAGCTAGTGAGACTTGAAAGCATTTAAGGTTTGAGAGTTCCATGCGAGCGTAGCATAGTGGTTAGCGTGCGAGATTTCGGTTCGTAAATATTCGGTTAGGCGTAGGTTCGTACCCCCAAGCGTTAGGATTTTTCAAATGTGTATGTAATAAAAAATTGCGTTTAAGTGTATAAAGAAATAAAAAAATGTGTAAAGTGAACTGTCAATGAATTGTCATCCGTATTTATCTTTTGCAATTAATTATTATTTTTTTACTGATATTTGTTGAAATTATTATTTTGATCCAAGCCGGTTGTCAGTCGGTAGAATGCCAGCATTGCCAGCGCACATCTGGCTAGGAAATGAAAGATCCGCAGTCGGTACAGTGCCGGGTCCCAGCCGGTTGAATTATACACGGAACGGCTCTTCGCGGCCGGTTACCGCGCGGTAGAATGCCAGTTCCGAGACGGATGGCCAGCCAGCTCCTGGCCAAGTCATCTTTTGGTAGAATACCAGTTCTCGGGCGGTAGGCAGGCGGTTCCCAGCCAGTACCACTACTCCGGCGTCGGTACAGGCGAGGATCCGCGCCGGTTGGAAATTTCCCACTGGGTTAATATACTATTTAATTCTGAATTAAATCTAAATTATAACCGATTAATTAACATTTTATGAATATTAGATAACAGTGTCATCTTTTCATGTATAAATAAATAAAGATATTTGTAATTTTGTGTAATTATATGTAATTTTATTTCTTAAACATTTATATATAAATTTTTCCATAAATATTTGTCTTCGTGTTTTCTTTTATTTCAACAAATAATTCGTAATAGGTACTTAACTTTAGAGGTGGGTTTTGCAAAAAATGTTGTATGATACACCCCTGGCGGAACGGGTAGATGCTTTGTTGACGCGAAAACGTCAAGATTCCGTCAAAAGTTGACGTTATCAAAAAAAGTGTTTTAAATACAAAAATTTGATAAAGTAAGTATTGGGTTTTGTAGAAACCCAACTGAAAAAGTTCGTCTGGATTTTCCACATGGAAATTTACGCAGAAATCCATGAGGAGATTTGAAATAATTCACATGGAAATCCACATGGAAATTTTCTATTTCTTCTATTTTTAAATTTTTTCAAAAATAAAAATCAAATTCGAATTCTGAGACTCCGAAGGGGTCTCACTCACTACTTTCTGCATTTTTAAAGAGGTTTTCGTTTATATTTGGAGTTTATTAAGAATATAAAAAAATTCATGCGGAAATCCACATGGCAATCCATGCGGATTTCATGTGGATAGTTTCAAATCTCCATATGGATTTCTACTTGAAAAGTCCATGGGAAAATCCAGACGATTTTTTTCAGCTGGGAAAAGTGTTTATAAATCGTTTATGACCTTATTTGTTCCAAATTAATGTAAAATAAGTGAAATAAAAGATAAAATATGTGAAAATGTCAAGTGAATGTGTATTGATAAATTGGTGTGTGTTTTAGGGAAAAATTGTTGACATGACTTTTTAATGTAAGATAAAAAGTAAAAAATTAAAATTTTGTTGTTATAAAGTGTAATAATTAATTAAAGTTGATGTTTTAATAGTATGAATATAATGTATATAGCAGCTGAAAATAGCGAAGGACGGTTACCTACACGCTGTTGATATGTCGCCGCGCATTTTGCACGACAGATGGCGGGAGTGACATTTGTCAATACGTATTTTATCACATGAAAATTAAACAAAAAATACTATTTTTATAGTGCAAGATACTTATAACCTTTCTTTAAATCATTTAAATTTAAAGAAAATAATGATAAATTTAAAGTAAAATGATAAATAATATACCGACTTAATTTATCAATAATTACTAGAACACAGCACGAAATACATGGTAAAAAAATTCTCTGTCAACTTTCTTGCTTTTAGTAAATAGAAAGAGTTTTAATCTTATATTTATTGACAAAAAAACTGCTTTCTATTTTATCACATTCAAAACCAATTTCAAAAGAAATAGGAAAACCAACTTTTCAAGATCATTTTTATTTAAATCAATTCTAGAAGTTGTATGATTGTATACTGGACTTAACCTTTTTTTAATTCAATCAATTACAAAGACAATTATTAGTATTCAATAAAATATAAAAAAGCAGAAAATATAAATAATTATACTAAGGCAGATAAATTAGGCAATTTTTTCCCGTTTTTTTTTAAATTATTAGAAAATTTACTTTTAAGACTAATTAAAATGAGATTCTAACTCCTCCTACTTTAAGAAAGCAATTTTTTTATTCTTTTAAAAAGTTACATTTAGACTTGACCCATTAAGTAAAAAAAGACTTCTGGCCAATAAAAAATAAACTCCTCCTATTTTCAAAATGCAATTTTATATTTGTTGGTTGAGTTAAACAAAATGGAAAAAATAATTAATATTTGAAAAATAAAACATATTATTCCAACCCCCAAAAGGAAAAATGGATGTTTTAGACCAATTAAAATAAAATTTAAACTCCTCCTTCTTAAAGAAACCTATTTTCTATTCGTGGGTACAATAGAACAAAATGGAGGAAATATTATTAAGTATTTAAATACATAAAATTTAGTATCAACCCCTCACGAAAAAATAGACTATAGATTTGGCTATTAGCCAAAAAAAAAGATTCAAACTCCTCCTATTTTCAAAATCAATTTTTCTATTTGTTGGTTAAAAGTGGAGAAAAAATTAATAATTAAATCATATTAATTCCAACCCCCAAAAGCAAAAATGGATGATTTAGACCAATTAAAATAAAATCTAAACTCCTCCCTCTTAAAGAAAGCTATTTTTTTCTTTGTTGGTTCAGTTGAAAAAAATTGAAGAATATTTATAATTTTAAGAAATGTAAAATTTATTCCCAACCCTCAAAAAATAAAATGAATGTTTAAGACCAATTACATTAAATTTTAAAATCCTCCTTCTTAAAGAAAGCTATTTTTCTATTTGTTGGTTCAGTTCAAAAAGTGAAAGAATATTTATGATTTTAAAAAATATAAAATTTAGTCCCAACCCTCAAAAGATAAAATGGATGTTTCAGACCAATTAAAATAAAATTTAAACTTCTCCCTCTCAATGAAATCTATTTTTTATTCGTGGGTTCAACAGAAGAAATGGAAGAATATTTATAATTTCAAAAAATATAAAATTTAGTCCCAACCCTTAAAAGATAAAATGGATATGTTTAAACATATCCATTTTATCTGTGGACAGACTGAATAAATGAATACGAAGATTATTATAGTTAATGAGGTCTAAGGATAGTTGTTGACGCTGAAAATTTTGTTTACAAAATTTTTAACATCAAAAACTCTTCTAATTAAACTAATTTTGTTCAAAAAAATTTTTAACTTCAAAAGCTATCCTTATACCTCATACAGTATAAATGCAAGCTAATTGTTTATAACATTTTTACAATTTCATACAATTACAATTTCATTTTATTTATCATTATTTTATATATAAAATGATGATTTATAATTAATTTCTTCAAAAATGTCCATGGTCCCACTCGTGAAAATCCCTTTAAAAATCACTATTCATACTTTAAATTTGATTAATTTTACATGATCGAAAAAAAATATTTTCAAAAAAATCAAAATTTTGAAACTCCATAACTCAAAAAATATTTTATCAAATTAAAAAAAAATGTATGTTTACACTTCTACTAATAATAGTAAAATTTTAGCAAAGTTTGAAGAAAATTCATTTTTTGACCTGAGTCTCTACAAACTTACCCTTCTTTCTGTGTAAAATAATTGTGATTTGGTCAAATGGCAAGTTAGGCCTACCGTTTTCACTGTGCATATAAAAATTAAAAATTTCAAAATAAATAGATTCCATCGTTTGCCCACAATCGGACAAGGCTTAAAAATTGTTAATTTAGTGGTAGTTTCTTAAAAAAATTTTGAAAAATATTAACCGATACATACATTGTTAAAAATGAAATTTTATTTAAAGAATTTTTAAATCTTATCGTAAATTATTTAAAAAATTTTTAAAAATTTTTTTACTAAAAACTACGTGTAAAAACAAAACTTTTGATTAAAAAAACGTCCAATTTGATCAATGTTTGACCGGGTTATAAGCATTTAAAACAAAAATTTACGTAAAAATCGTCATTTTTCAAAAATCTGTATCTCCTGAACCGCTTTATGAAAGAATTTGAAAAAATCAAGGTAGCTCATTTCAAAAAGTACAAGAAGAAAAAAAATGTTTAAAAAAATTTGAGATGCAAAAGCAAAATGATTTGCGACTTGGCGTGGAATGCTCCATATATAAATATTATAAATCATCATTTTCTATATAAAATAATTATTTATAATTATTTTCACTTCAAAAATTTTCATGGTTCCACTCTGATTTTCACATGACTCATAGGAAAAAATGTCAGCTTTCGATTGGGATAGGTCAGAAAAAAAAAACGATTTTGAGATATATTGAAATTGAGAATTTGACCTTGAATTTCAAGGTCAAATTCAACAAAAAAGGTTTTTTCAAGGTTAAATTTTTTTTTACTAAAAACTATTCTAGAACATATATAAAACATGATATGGTGAAGATTTTTAAAGAAAAGTTAATAAAAAAATATGTTTGAATTTCAAAAATTATTTTTCTTTTAATAACATTATTTCAAATTTTTTGAATTTTTTTGTCCAACTTTGACATCATGCTTATTCCAAGTAAAAAATTACAGGTTAATGCCTATAAGTAATTCTTATTCCGTAGAAAATGACCTTTAAAATAAGCCTAAGATTATTAAAAAGCGTTCATTATTTTAGATGTTATTCAAATTTTTGTAAAACATTGAAAATGACGATTATTAAGAATATCTTCTACAAATTTTGGCCAAATGACTTCTGTGAGGTCTTATTCTTTTCAAAATTTTATCCTCTTACAAAATATAAACCAAAAAAAATTTTAGTTTTCATGAATTTTACGTTAAAGAATTTTTTTCATTCCTTTAAAAATGGGTGGACTGACAATTTCGGACGGTACTGTATAACTCGTAAAAAATCCTTTAAAAATCACTATTCATACATTTAATTTCATTAATTTTACTTATTAATATGTTAAATCGAAAAAAAGATATTTAAAAAAAATCAAAATTTTGAAATTCCATAACTCAAAAAATATTTTATTGAAATTCAAAAAAAATTTATATTTACACTTCTACTAATAATAATAACATTTTAGCAAAATTTCGAGAAAATTCATTTTTTGTTGAAGAGGACTACACGGCAACGAAAGCAGCCGATTTGAGGGAAATCCAAAAGCTGATAAAACCACCTTCAACTCCTCCAGAACATGTTCAAGTTCGAAGTCAAGGTAGTAATTCCTCTGATCATTTCTATAAACACTTACCTGCTTTAATTTTACCTAAATTTTCAGGGAATCAACTAGAGTGGGAAACCTTTAAAGAGATGAGATTTTTTGATGAGATTCTTTGTCTTTTGGATGCTACCAACGAATTAATTCGAGCTTTTTCCAACATGGAACGACCCGTGGAACTATGGGATGATTGGTTTGTACATCTTCTAGTGCATAAGCTTGATCCATGCACTAGACAAAAATGAGAAACTTCTTTAAGGGAAGAGATCGAATGCGAGAATATTTTTCAAGATACTCATTATCGAAACGAGAAAGGTCAATACGTAGTTCAACTACCCAAACTCCAATCACCTGATCTATTAGGTCGATCTAAGGAACCAGTGGCTTCAATGTTCAAAAGAAACGAAGCTCAACTTTCAAAAGACCCAGTTGCCAAAGCTAAGTACAATACATTTATGCAAGAGTATCTTTCATTGAATCATGTGGAGCCTGCATCTTCAAAAGATCAAAATTACCCTAAGCCAAACTATCTTCCGCATCATGTGATCTTTAATGATCTTCTGTTAAAATTCAGAGTAGTATTCAATGGCTCTTTTCGAACTCTTGTTCCGGCGTGTCGCTTAAGGGGACACCTAAGTGGAAAAATGACAAAAAAATCGATTTTTTTATTTGATTTTCTAAAAGTAGACTCAATTAGGAATAGAACAAGACTTTTTAAAACCTTTTCCAAAGAGTAGAAAAAATCTGATTACATGATTCTGAATACCATGAGTTTTTAGCATTTTTTCTTTTTTCGTGTCTCCTGTAAAAATTGTTTTTTTCCAATTTTTTAACTTTCGGTGCACTTTTCTCCGAATCTACTAAACCGACTTGTATTTTTTTTTTTACTTTGTTTAGTAAGGTTCCAAGAATACGAATAAGAAGTTTAACATCATTTTGAGTTGTACAAACGGAGATATGAGTCAATGAATCAGAGAAAATGGGATTTTTATTTTGCTTTTGGTATAAATATTTATAAAAAAGTTTCTATTGAAGATAACGTCGTATTACTTCTTATTCATATAATTGATTATATTTGTAATCGAATGAAAAAAGGGCGAACGCAATTGGAATAATAGTTTTCGAGAAAAGTGTACCGAAAGTTGACTTTTTTTGCATTGTTTTTAGGTGACTTGGGTGTCCCCTTAACCCGTTGCCTGTTTTCGACACACGGGTGGGTCGTAAAAAAGTTTGGCCATAACTGTTTCCGACCCACCCGTGGGTCGTGTTCATTTTCACTCAAAATAAATATAATTTGTTTATAAATTGATAGATATTTTTCTTTACATCAATATTATAAGACATTATATAATTATATATATATATAAGACAATAAATCCGCTAAGGTATTTGATCCCGAGAATTCAGTGTTCACGCTAGGTCTGGGTTGGAATCAAACTTCTTATAAATTCCATTTCGAAATCACTCCTATTTCGTTATCAAATCCAACAAAGCGAATGGTCGTCTCTAAAATCGCAAAGCTCTTTGACCCATTAGGTTGGCTATCACCATTCTTGCTTACAACTAAAATTCTTCTTCAAGATAGTTGGTTGGCTGAAATTGATTGGGATGCATTTCTTCCTGAAACTCTTCAGATTAAGTGGAATGATTTCCAGAAACAGTTTAACCAACTCGGCATGATTAAGATCCCTCGATACATTCAAACCAACGATGATCAGTCCAATTGGGAACTTAATGGTTTCGCAGATGCCTCCGAGAGAGCTTATTCTGCAGTGTTGTTCTTAGTTGATCGATCTCAAAAGATGCTTCAGGTCGCATATTCGCTCAGAATACAATCCTACTGATTGTGCCACGCGAGAATTCACGGTACAAGAACTTCATGATTCTTCCATCTAGTGGCACAGACCAGCATGGTTGATCGAAGATCCTGAACATTGGCCTGTTTCCAATCAAGTAGTTAAAACTGAATCAATCTGGAAATTAGATCAAAGTTTCTGAAAGAGAATGAAAATGCTCAGATCAGTCTTTTACGAGAAGATCAAAATCCTGATTTATTAGAAAGAGTTTCATAGTTGTTCAAACTCATCAGAGTTATAGCATACTGCTTTCATTTCGTACGGAGACTACGAGATCGAAATGCTGACTTACCAACTTACCTTCCTCTGATGACCTAAAAGAATCACTTAATGCCTGAACTGTATTAATCCAAAATGAACATTTCAGTGAAGTTAGAAATACCTTGAAACACCATTCTTGGATCAAAATTCAATCCTCCTAGTTACAGTAACCCCGAGTCAACTTATGGGTCAGCTGCCAGTTGAAAGAATCACTGAATCAAAACCGTTCACTTTCACTGGGCTTAACTACACTGGTCCCATTAATGTTCTCCCCTAGAAAAGTCAAGGCATCAAATCAACTAAGGGTTACCTCTACTTATTCGTCTGTCTTTCTACACGAGCCATTTACCTCGAATTAGTTTCCGATCTTGAAACAAAAACCTTTTTAAGGCCATTTTATTGATTCACTTCACGTCGTGGTCAGTGTATAAAGGTTTTTAGTGACAATGCCCGAACTTTTGTTGGTGCTGAAAAAGAACTGAAATCACTTTTCTCTGTCGCAAAAAGTATCTTTCCCAGAGTTGCAGAGGTACTCGCTACTCAAGGAACCACGTGTTCCTTTATTCCTTCACACTCCCCTCACTTCGGAAGAATTTGGGAGGCAGGAGTCGAATCAGTTAAACACCATCTGCGAAGAGTCATTGGTGAGACTCCATTGACCTTCGAAGAGTTATCGACTGTTTTATGTTAAATTGAGGCTTGTCTCAATTCTCGTCCCCTCTATCCTAACACTTCTGACGCTCATTCTGTTTCAGCCAATACGCCGGGACACATTTTAACAGGTGAACCTGTTACTGCGATTCCAGAATCTACTCTCAATCAAGTAATGCTTCAACCTAACCAACGTTGGAAATTAGTAACTAAAATGAGAGATGAATTCTGGAGGAGATGGTCACTAGTGTATTTCCACCACCTACAACAAAGATCCAAATGGCTAGTTGAAACTAATGCGGTGAAAGTTGGAAACGTAGTTTTATGCATTCATCAACTGCAACCAGAATCAGACGAGCTGGCGAGAGTCGCCACCATCCACACAGCAAATTTGTTTTACAAACGATCCTTCCCGTTCCAATTTCTAACGACGCTGCTTAATATAACCTTATTTACTAATTATTACCGTATCTATTAATTCATGTGATATGCCTTTTCGTTAACAACCCGATTTACATCAAGTCCATCATTCTATCAAAAAAAGTCGAGTTGCGCAAATCTAAAATATCATCACTCTCTACCTTCCGGGCTTCGTTCGTGAACATGTGCTCGCACTGAGTCTTTACTCTTTCAATTCACAATTATAGTAAAAATCCTTAAATTTAATCTTATTTAAAACTAAAATTACCTTTTCTAAAATACTGAATATCAAGTTGAATGTTGTATTTTTCGTTAAACATTTAAGTAAATTAAAAAGTGTTTATTAAAGTGCACAGTGGGCCAGGATCGTCGATTTTTGGCCAAAAATCATTTTTTAAAATAGAACAAGATATTTACGAATAACATGCTACTTACAGTTTTTGGGGTCGCTGATTACGAATCTGAAGTCAGATTTCAAAAATTCAAAATGGCGGATCCAATATGGCGGACATAATTTTTTTATATGAATCAATTTTAATAAAGCATAAATATCTAAAGGTTTTTTAGGTCGCTGATTACGAATCTGAAGTCAGATTTCGAAAATTCAAAATGGCGGATCTAATATGGCGGACATAAAAATTTTAAATTAATAAATTTGAATTAAACATAGGTATCTATGGGTTTTTTGGGTCGCTGATTACAAATCTGATGTCATATTTCAAAAATTCAATATTAGAAATCCAAAATGGCGGACATACAATTTTTAAAATTAATCGATTTTTATGAATCTTTGTATCTAGGGGTTTTTTAGGTCACTGATTACGAATCTGATGTAAGAATTCAAGTGGATTTTAGATTGGGTGAGATTCGCCTACAATTTTTTGCTTGGGAGTTTTTAAGTTTGGTGATTACAAAACTAGTGTCTATACAATTGAAAAATAAAAATTTTTTTCCTGTTATTAGCCTACAAAAATAAAAAGTACTGTAGTTTCCAGGATCTACCACGAGGAGGTTACAGGTAAAGATCCAATTTTGTATTTTTTTAGATTTTTAAAATTTTTTGGTTTTTTTTAGACCTGATGTTTACTTATAGGTATATAGTTTATCGCGTGGGTATATCAGGTGCGCATGTAGTCCATGGATCGGATAAACACTCCATTTCATATCTAAATCTGATTTCAGAAACAAAGTGCTCATTTTTACATTTTTAAAATCTGACAACAGATTTGTAATCAGCAACCCGAAAAACCTTTACATACCTATTTCTCATTGAAATTGATTAATTTAAAATTTTTTATGACCGCCATTTTGGCTACCTGCTTTGCAAGAGGCCATATAACCAACAACAAAAAAATTTTGATTTCTTGAAATCTGACATCAGATTCGTAATCAGCGACCCAAAAAACCATAGAGTTATTAGCATAGAGTGCGAAAGCGACCAAAATGTTAGACAGCCATACGAAAAGTAGACCCCTTTTCTTTCTTTCTCTAAGAACGCATGCGCGATAGTGAAACAGCTGATGCATCGAAACAATTGTTGCTTGCTTGCTGGCAATTATATTTTTCTTTTATTTACGTGAAAAATAAATAATTTAAAAACATTTTTAGCAGGAAAAATGGTATTTTATGTTAAGTTTACCTGCTTTCAATTTATACTCATCGAAATAAGCAGCTTAAAATTAAAAATTCCAATTACTATAATATTATCGCTACGACATCCAAACTAGAATCAAAAGTTGCGTCTTAACTTCAAATAACAGCCAAATAGCTTTTTTCAACATGACTTTTTAATCCCACTCTACCCTATTTATTGTAAAATATTTATTTTACATTTAATTTTATTATATTTGAAACGATTTTTCATGCGATCTTTTTCGACAAAAACCTAACCAAAAACTTTTATTCTTGCACATGCGCCATTAAAGAAGGTAAGATAAGGGGTCTACTTTCATGCTTTTGTCTCTTTCTATGCGCCTAAGAATGCCTCTTACGGTAAAAGGTATAACTCGCGCACTCTATTCTAATAACTCTACACTGCAAAAGTAGGTGTCTTATTTGATATCTTAATATAAGATGTAAGATGGAAAAATGGTATCTTACATCTTAAAATAAGATGTTTTCTAAAGTATCTTACTGATTTTTAAGATGTTTTATACGTCTTAGATATTTCTTCTGTCTTAAAAAAGTAAGATACTTCTGTAAGTTTTTTAAAGTATCTTAAATTAAGATGTTTCTGTCTCAATAAGATGTTTAGCGATAAGATACTTTAAAAATCTTAAATTAAGATATTTCAAATAACTTAAAAAAGACTACCAAAACATCTTAAAAAAGATACTTCTTTTTGCAGTGTATGCAAAAAACCCA